CGTTTCATACGTTCCGAAAAAAATCTAAAGCTGTGATTTTACTGTCCACTATGCATCATGATTAAGCTATTTGTGAAGATGATCAGAAAAAGCCGGAAATAATAGAATTTTACTATAAGACGAAGGAGGACGTTGACACCAACGATAAATTGTATGCAACTTATAATGTTGCGCGCCGAACCAAAAGATGGCCTATGGTAATATTTTTTCATCTTTTTAATGTACCAGCAATAAACGCTTATGTTTTTATAACATACATAATAACAGTAAAATAACCAGAAGGAATTTTTGAAAAAAACTTCGATAGAACTTGTAAAAAATTATAAAACAAAGAGAGTTGAACCTACTACTCTGCCACGGCCCTTGAAAAGACGACTTCAATGTGATACTGAACTTTCTACTTCTGGACACAGTTAAGTGGTTCAAAAGGCCGTTGTCACCTATGTCCTAGGTTTAATGATAGGAAAACAAAAACCAAATGTGGTAAATGTAACAAATTCATGTGTAATGAACATCTTACAAAAATTCATGGTTGTTGATTTGTGATTCATGTGCCTCATAATTTAAGATAATTTTGATTACTGCTTTAGAAGTTTAAATTTTTGTTATTTCCTAGAAATCTTTCTTTATTTTGTTAATTTAGATGTTGTTCTTTAAGTTTTTGTATAGAATAAATATTTTCACTTATTTTAAATATTTCATTTTCAAAAGTAAATCATGGGGTCCGTACGGACCCCACGCGACTAATAGTGTAAGTATTTAGGCGCGACTAGCTAAAGGATATTTATGATCTGCTTATTAAATGTAAAATATATACTATATCTATATATGACATAATATATTAAACATTTTTGTTTATATATTAACATACACTATATACATATATTAAGTACAATATAATCTGTAATTGCACCTGCCACAAAATATCACTCCACGGGTCAATTGACAGAGAATGCCGATAGGAATTAACTCCGCCTTTTATTACCCTATTTATCAAGGTGTTAATAATAAGGATTAATATTACATAGAATATATACAATTACATCCATCCATTATAGCCTTTCACAGGTCCACATTATATAATATTTTTTAATTCGCGGCGTTATAGAATTAACCTATTGAAGGTATCCGCAGGGTAATCAGAGTAACCTCAGATCATAGAAACAACAGTTCTATGATCTGATAGAGTAATTAACAAAACCTAATGGATGTATCAGAACTGGCAACTGGGTCGAAGGAAGTACTGATTAATCGATGGAGAAGAAAATTTTTCGAGTGGTAGCCTCATAGCGGTATGCGAAGTATTGGGCGGCCCTGCAGTAAGCGGAGTGACGACCTGGGAAGACATACATGGAACCGGTGGATACATGTGACTCAAGATATTGTTTTGTAGCGTTCCACGAGAGAGGAATTTGTATATTTAGCAATGAAATTGTAAACGGGTCTAATGGTGATAATGGTATGAAATATGTTTTAAATTAGATTTTGTTTATTTTTTAATGTACTTCCTAAAACTTGTGTTTAATTAAACATATAAGTAGGAAGAAAAAGACAAGAACTGACAGCTGAACCGCACATCAGCTTTGTTAAAAGCAGTTATCATAGTTGTTGCTTTTTCAACCGTTATCAAAATTTTACATTGAATCGACGTTGTGAACTCTAAAAAAATAGGAAAAAACCTTCGAGATTTGACGTGTTTTTGACAGTTTGACGTGGGTAAAGTGTTAGCAGTACACTTCATTAGCTTTTTGGGACCAAGAAATTTTTATCCTTAGAGCGATATCTCGCTCAAAATATCGACTTTAACACAATTAATGTCAGTGGGAATTAAGTCGGTAGAACTCAAACGTTTGTTATCATTGAAAACACGTCTGAGCTACTTACAAGTGAAATTGCATTTACTTGTTTACTACGTAATTCTCAGTGTTTCGCTGTCACAAAAGGAGCCTTACAATATCGTTCTGCCCGATTGTTCATATTTGATTTGACTCTAATTTTAGATAAAGTAAATCGACGGATGTAACCCAATCCCAGCGGATTTGGAAACGTCGATTGACTTTTCGGTTCAAGTTGGACGTACGTACCTTGTCGGACACTTTGTCCTAGGTAGATATTCTCGACAAGAACTTCTAGTCTAGTAATCTCAACAACTACTGACATTTGTGTGACACGGATCATACTTATCACCTTTGTTTAAGCCATTTTAATTTTAAGACATATCCTTAGAGACAGTAAATAATTGTGGCAGAATTGCTGAGGTCCTCCAGCGATTCTGTCATAATGACTATCGTATTTGAGTGATAAACTCGCCATTGATGATTATGCTATTTCCTATCCAGTTCAGTAGCTTGAAAAATTCTTCCAATGCAGAGGTATTGATTTGTGTCATAGTGTCACATTAGTGTTGCCCAAAATCGGTCTTGGTCTTGCAGTCCTGGTCTTGTTCTTGCATTTTTGTAAGACCAAGACCAAGAACAAGACCGCCTAATTTTAGCAAGACCAAGACCAAGACTGACCGTGCAAGATTTGAGCAAGAACAAGACTAAGCCTGCGAGACTCTTGCGTCTTGCAGTTAGGAATGAGTGTCGTTTCAGGGAGTATAGTTCGGGTATACGCTTAGGGGCTCTACGAGACGCAAAAATATACAAAAAAAAATTGGGAAATTGGACTTATGCGCATTACGAACAATACCATAAACATACGAGTACATAGCGGATGAAAATATGCATTAAAAGAAAAAACAGTGCATCCCTAGTTTTGACCATCGGCACTTTGATACTGGGTGGCGTCTTGTTGTCGGCATCATCGAAGGTCGAATACTGACCTATCAAAGAAATTTTGCAGCTATTCGGAAGTACAAGGTCAAGATACACTCGCCGGCGGCTTCTATTGATATCGTATTCAATCGTTGCCGCCGCGCCGCACGCACTACATTTGACACTATTTGAATGCCACCACAGAGTACATGTTCCAAAGAATAAAATAAGTTTCCGGGTGCTCAGAATGGACACGAAAATATTATGCTGATCTCACAAGGAATATTGTAATTAAATAATTGTAAGGATAGTTAGATACCATAATAATTTATTCTAGTAAGTAATTATTATAATATTAACATATGGGTTTATAATAATTACTTACTATTATTATTATTACCTAATAGATCAACATGTTCAATAAGTTCGCTGCAATCGATTTTTGGAAGTGTGTGTTTTTGAACACAAAGTGTTCGAATATGTCGTCTCCCATTTGATAAATATTGTAGACACTTTTAACCACTTTTAACACACTTGAAACGTGTAAACATTTTGTACAATGCTAATCGAATAATATAAAAAGTGTGCATATCTAAATAAAAAGTGTAAAATAAGATCGATGTACTTTTTAGGAGCCCGAGTATCTCTTAGAGAACCGTTTAAAGAAATTTATTGCATCGAATTGATGTAAATAATAGTGATTTGCACAATTTTAATAGTAGAAATAAAAATAAAATCACAATACCTGCTTTCCGGTTACACAAAGTATATAATGCGTTCTTGGATAGCGATATACGCTTTTATAATAAGATTCCAAAAGAAATGTTAGATCTTTCACCTTTTCAATTTAAGTCAGACAAAAATGGTTGGAACTCACCTCTCGTACTACACAGGACTAACTAGAAATTTCTAAACCGATTTGGTATCTACATATACATTTGACATTTTATGTTTGACTTATCTCTTTACATAATTATAGAACTATTGTAAAAATATTTTGAAAAGAGCAACTACTGAGTTTCTTACTTTCTTCCATGATTCTTCTCAATAGAATCAGAACCCCTGGACATGGAAAAGAAAAAATTGGGGAAAACAGTGATTATATGACTATTCAAAAGTGTATTTTTAATGCCTACTTGAATAAAACATATTTGAATTTTGAATTTCAAATGAGTGAAGGCAAATTTAATTTAATTAACGTAGATTAATTCAATCACAAGAAGAACATAATATACACAATTATAAACAAAGAGGACAGAGGGCGCTTTGCCAAGTTCACATCAGCTCTCGTGTTATTTTAAGTTTAAAAATATATTAAACTATAATTTCGTTCCCCTTTTTACTTTAAAAGAATAATAAGTATATAAACTATTATTGAAAGTGTTTAAAGAAAGTATTTAAAGAAATATTAAGTGATTGTGAATTAAAAAGCAAAAACATTATTTCATATGAAAAGAAACATTTATGTAATCTAATTTGAAAACCACGTCAATTAAACAAACTTTTGTGTTAAAAATCCACGTACAGTGCTAAGTGTAACATGAGAAAGTGTAAAGTGTAAATAATCAAAAATGTTTGTATTGTGAAATAGTAACAAAGAAGAATCATAAATGGACTAGTAATAATATTTAAAAACAAACCGTTATAATATTTAACTTAACAGCGCCATCTTATATACAATAGCTTCACTCGATCAAAAGATAAGCAGGCGACACCTAACAGCGACACTACAAAATTAGTATAAGAAAAGAAGCAAATGTAAACAAAACCAAGTGTTAGTATTATATTAGTATATCAGCTGTTCTTGAATATCTACCACTGAGTGACACCTATACACAAAAACCAGAAAAAACTGCCATAAGCAAATAAATTAGCGTTACCTGGCAGCGACCGATTGTACCAGCTGCTGCATTCGATATAAATCAGAGTTTAGAATCAGATATATTCAACAAAGCAGTACTATAGCCCGCCACTAGAGGGCACTTGAAGATGGAGAGTTGTGCAAAATGTAATAAAAATGTAAAAAAAGAGACAATCTATGACATTTTCAATTTGTAATAAGATATTTGACCTAGAATGTGCAAATATTTCATATTCTTTATTCAGCTTAATGAAAAAGAAAGTAAAGAAAAATGGAAATACAACCGTTGTCGGACGGCTTTAAAGGAAAATATTCAAAAATCAATATCTTCGGTTACAGTACCTTTTAAAAATTATATTTCCTCACCTAGAGAAAATGTAACAATGCGCAACAGGATCATAGCAAATGTTTCAACTGAAAACTCATTTGAAACGCTCTCTGAAGACGAAATCGACACTGACGGTGAAAATTGCGTGAACAAATCGGTCAAGTTGAATCGAAGTTATCCTGACATTGATCCTAAACCAAGTAAAAATGATTATAGTGATTACATATATACACTGAAAGAGAAAAACAAAGAATTAGAAAAAAATTAGGATCTGCTGATGCTGAAATCGAAAAATTACTTGCTGAAAATAGTATGTTGGAGAAAAAAGTTTTAAACTATGAATTAAAAATTAAGCAGCTAGAGACAATTTGCAGTTCACCCAACACACTATTAAATACTGAAAATAAGGTCCCTAAGCACATGAAAGGAAAACAGTTAAATTTTATCGAAAAAAATATAACGCCGGCGAAGACAACGATAAGTAATCAAGAAAATATTGTTAAAATAAAAGAACTTGAAACCATGAGCGTTGAACTACAAAAAACAAGAGAAGAGATTTGTTTACTAAACAATAGACTTACGGATCTAACGATAAACAATCTGTATGAAGAGCACACAAATTATAAAACCAGCAAAATACGCATATTTTCTAGCGAAAAAGTAAATAAAGTCATTAACATAGCATTAGCAACTTTTGCTGATGAAAACTATGAGATATGCCATTTCCTGAGATCTAACGTCGGTATGATGAATCTTCTCGACAATCTATGTAGTGAAGCAAAAAATATTTCAAAAAATGACTTCTCTATACTGTTAATAGGTAAAGAAGATTTTAAACGAAGCGAAAATTATAAAAAAATGTGTTCAAGAATTAAGAGAGTCATTGTTGAAAATAAAAAATACGAATGTTATATTATGCTACCTTTAAATTAGGAAAATACTTCCAAAATTATTATAAAAGGATCGAAACATTTAATGCATTGCTCTACAAAGAAGTACAAATTCATAAATTTGCATTTATATGAGATTCCAATCTTGAGCTAAGTTATGAATACATGATGTTCTCTAAACCATTGGGTAGATTAAATAACCTTGGTATGAAAATAATTTTCCAAAATTTAAAATCATTATTACACCAATTATGGTATGATATTAGTAAGACAAATAATAAAAAGACAATGCCCTGTTCCGCCGTGCCAATCCAAAATACTGTAAGTCAACTTACAGTGTTTTTGCTCAACAATGCCCAATCAGTTTCTGTAGGTCTGTTTAGTACCCCTGACCAATATTTTTGTCATTTAAACGTATATTTTGCAGGATAGGGCAAGCTAAAAAACACTGTATAACGTTCAAATTAAGGTTTAACCATGCTGGAAAACTGTAACAAAGCTTACAGTATTTTGCCGCAACAAACTACGCGCACTGCTGGAGATACAGTGTTTTAAACTGACGCGTATATTCGCACGTTGATATTGTCCTGCCAGCGTAATATGATCTATAAACGTGAATGCTATCTCGCTCTCTCGCATCGTTATAGAGGTACCCCGCGTTCTCGGCAAGTTTGAAGACGGTTCAGTTTACGTGTGACGCGCAGTGATACCGGTGATTATGTGATTTATTGTGTACCTGTGACCCTGTGATCGCCTGTCGTATTTTATTTAATTACCGTGATTTTGTACTAATTTAACCATGAATACGAGTCGAAGTAAAATGCTAGTTAGACTGTCAAAACAAAATATTAAACATTATAATAACACAGACTCAGTTTACACACTGTTGTGTCCAATGTGATAAGTGACTGCCTAAAAAAAGAAAATAGAAACCGCAATAATCACAATGAGTATGAAAATTACCTTCAAGATGATTTAGGATCAAGAAACTTTATAAGTCCTATCATTCCATTAAGTGAGTCTCAACTTAATGAATGCATTTCAAAAGAATTAGGAGAAAGAGTTTACGCCCAACTGGTACCTGCATTAATTTGTGATAAGAATTTAGACGTCTCAAATATTTCCACAGAAGATTTTCACCAATCCACAAGTTCGCATATTCATGTTAATAGCGTTCAATCTAATTTATATTGTGATCTTACGTCTAAAACAAAAATCCAGTCAATAAAGAACCAAGAACACATTGCTACTGGATCGATAAATAATTTAGATGAAGATGATTTCGATACTTTGAATCTTTTGACTGTGACACAAAACATAATATCTACTGAATTATCGACTGAAATGCAACCAGCACCTTGTTTAGCACATTCTTCACCACATTCGCCAAACCGTCCTTAGCTCCTGTAAGTCCTATTGCACATATTGAAACAGAACTGCTGACAAGAAAAAAAAACGTAGCTTTCTTGAAGAATCCACCGCCATTGATAAACCTGCCGTCGAAGATAACTGTCAAACACCAATGAAACCTAAACGCAATAGAGACTCAGCAGCTATATTAGAGACACAAATATTAAAACATCCATTGTTGCCACCTTGTTTATGTAAAAAACAGTACATTCAAAAGATTTCCGAGACTGAAAGGCAGTCTATTTGGACACAATTTTGGAACTTGGACCGGCAACGGCGCCGCGACTTTATATCAAGAAGTGTTGATAAGCTATTTACCGTATGCACTAAAACAAAAGGTGATTCTCGAAGGCATAACACACTAAAAAGGTCCCTAAATGATGTCAATGTATGCAAGTTTTTTTCTTAGGACCTTGGGATATACAAACGATGAAGCTGTGCAATCAGTCTTGAAAAATAACTATCTAGAGAGTAATAAAAATCCGAAGATAAGCGCTACACCCGATCTTCGAGGACGTCGATATGCACCATCTAACAAGTTTCCACCGGAGTATGAAAAATGATTAGAAGAATTTATTATGAAATACAACCCTGTTCCATCACATTACAACATTTACCATGCGCCGAACCGAAAGTATTTGCCTATAGGTATAAACTTTTCCACTATATACAAGGATTAAACGGTATTGCCAAGAAAATAATACGACGATTTGTGGTTGGACATCATCACTCATTTTCATACTATGATAAAAAAAATTAAATCTCTCAACAACAGAATTACCTCAAGATATATGCAATAAATGTAAAAATCATAAAATAGCTCATGAGATACTACCACTTCCTTGTAACTGTGAAGAGTGTAAAATGATAGGCCAGCACTTAGAAAATAAACGCAATTCACGAAGAGATTTAAGTTTAGCAGAAGATCGAAGTAATAATTCGGAAGGAAAGGAAGCTGTGTTCACCGTCGACATGCAAAAAGCTATATGCATGCCACTTCTTAGAACAAAAGATTATTATTTTTCAAGAAAACTTGTTCTATTTAACGAGTCATTTGTGCCGCCTGGTAAAAATAAAAATGCTGTATGCATCCAGAGGCAAGAAGGCGAAAGCGGCAGGAGAGCTTACAACATAGCAACCACATATGTTCATCTCATAAGAAAATATTGCGGGGACCTACACCATTTAAACTTCTTTTTGGGACAATTGCAATGCTCAAAATAAAAACAAAATTCTTTTTTCTGCATTAGTTAGAGTTGTACACGATAGAAAAACTGATATTCAAACATTAAATTTAGAATATTTTGAACCGGGCCATACATTTATGGCTGCGGATGCAGTTCACGCTGCTATAACAAAAAAAAAAATATCAGGTGATGTTTATGACATTGAAGACTTCGTTACAAATATCAAGGAGTCAAGAAAAAACCTTAATGTCGACGTGCTCCAGCACAAAGATATTGTAACTTTTTATGAATGACTGTAAAACTACACTTCCAAAAGACTGGAACATCCAAAATTTAAAAATTATTGAGTTTCGAAGAGGTAAACTCTCCATGTTTGCCAAAAATGATTACAATGGGGAATTTAAAGAACTACATATTTTAAAGAAAAAGGTTGAAAGAGATTTAAGAAAGAAAATGGGTGAAGAGCTAGATCTTATAAATATGATAGAAAGAGAAAAAAAGCCAAGAGGTGTGAATGAAGTTAAAAAAAAGGAATTACTAACACTTGCAAAATCTATGCCTGTATCGCGGCGAACTTTTTATGAAGCCCTTGAGGAGTCAGATGCGCCTGATCTCGATATACATATTGATTCTGATTTGTAAATCAGTCATATCACAAATCAGAATCAATACTTTTTTTTTCATTAAATGATGGATCTCATAGAAGACTAAATATGGTTGTGTTTATATTGTGTAAGTTCTTAAAAAATATTAGAAGAATATGTTGTTTCGCAAAATTTTTCTATTATGTTAATTTTATAAAAAAAAATATTGTTATGTTTCGTCAAATATTACTAATTAATAAGTATAATTATGTTCGTAAAAAAGAAGACTGTTATGTTTCGCTAGACGTTTTTGACTATTAATGTTTTATTCTATAAAAATATTACAAGACATTATAATTAATGATTCGTCATTAAAGTTTATGTTATATAACTGTATTTGATTTTATTTACAAAATTTGACAAATAGCTGCCTAATAAAGTATCTACCTACATTAAAACATTTTGTTGGTCATTTTAAAACACTGTATCATTGGATACAGTGTTATGGCATAATTATTTACCTACTTTTAAACAAGACAAAAAACTGTAATTAGTTTTACAGTTTTTTGTATTGTTATAGTTGTACTTAAACTTGGCAACTCTGTCTTGTCAATACAAGTTAATGGCAATATCTTTTTATCTTACAAAATTTATGAAAAAAAACACTACTTGGCTATGTAGTTAGAGATATATACCTACTATTGAATGCATAAAATAATACAATAATGAACAGTAATCAATAAAAAGCAATTAAGTATCAAAAACATATATCGTCTAAAATCTCACATGTGGTTTTCAAAAGTTACAGTGTATTGGATTGGCAGGGCAGTGTTACTGTGATGTATCCGAAACAAGCCACACCATAAACTCAACACCAAAGTCTTTTTTTCGTGATTAATAATGTGAATATTTTGTTCCAAAATATGCAAAGTTTATTCAATAAAACCCATCTTCTGGAAACCAATTTAGACCAAAATCTACCATACGCAGTTTGCATTTCGTAATCTTGGCTGTCTAATTCTAAACTAGAATTAGTTTTATATCAAAACTGTCATGTGGCAACCTATTTCTGCCGAAAAAATTACTCAGGAGGTGGTGTATGTATCATACTAAAAATGATTTAGAGTATATAGAACTAAAAGATGTAAGCAGTTTCTCAATTGAGTATGTAACGAAATTTTGTGCAGTGGAAATCACTAAATTAAATATTATTATTGTTAGTCTGTACTGGAATAATAGAGAGAGTGAAGTTTTCTATACACAAATGAAAATGTTATTAGAATATTTAAATAGAAAAAATGATAAAAAACAAATTATAATTGGAGGTGACTTCAACGTGAATATTTTAGAGGAATCACAAAAATCAAACTTTCTGTTAAATTTCATGCTAGAATATATTTTTATTCAAATAATAAAGAAACCCACTCGTGTTACATGCAATTCTGCCACATGCTTAGATCTTCTCTTTATTAACTTCCCTTTAGCGGAGTTAAAAGCTTATGTTGCAAATTTAGGTTTTTCTGATCCCAAAGGAACTATAATTTATTGACAATACAAAAAACAATTCCTAAAACGATTTTTAACGAGAAAAACATTAATGAATTTAAATCTCAGCTTTCACTTAAAGACTGGCGTACTCTTCTAAATGTCGAAAGAAGCCTTAACGAAAACTATAATAATGAAATATTACAAAATTTGCTAAATGTATGCATTCCTAAAAGAACCGTTACTTTAAGAGCAAGAAAAAAGGGCTCCGGCTACCTTCAGTTAAAAAAAAAACTGAAGGTAGCCGGACTAACTATGACATGGGGACGTCAAATATCTCAGTCCCCCCCGTGATCATGGGTGCTGAAAAGTACCCGAAACGTCGGGATAATAATAAAAATAAATTAAAGTAATTAAACGCGATAAAATCCGTAAATAATAGTTTTATTCAATTTCCAATTGAGCTTTGGTTCGAGTCTAATGTATTAATTGTTTTTACTCTAATCCTTGATGTTCTCGGAGTGATAAGTTTACAATTTGACATGAGTGACGAAGAGTCGAATAGTTCTAGTCGGCGTAGTGAGAGTTGGGAGTTATAGATCTAAAAGACCTAAAAGTAATTTTGATGAGTTTTTCGACATAACTAATGTATCCCAAATTGCTTTGTGTAAATTATGCCAACATAAAAAGGTTGAAATAAAAATGAAAAAAGAGAAACAGAGAGAGAGATTTTGAAATTTTCTCGCTGCAAAAGTCTTACCAAAGTATAAAGAGGCTATATAGGTAAAGCTTAACTATGCAAGTATTTATTATTTAAAACTAATAAAGTAAATGTCGATCTTCATATCTATACTTTAAAAATATAGGACTTGCATGTAACCATTTTACCCCAATTTCACCCCCCTTAGGTTTAGGATTTCGTAAAACAGCTTATTCAGGATTTGGATTTTATTATTGAAAACTTATAACTTTAGTGCCGATTTTCGTGTCTCTAACTTCAAAAACGTAGGACTTTCATACAAACTTCCAACTCCCATTTCACTCCCTTAGGGATAGATTTTCTCAAAACTGTTTCTTAACTGATCTTTATGCCATAAAAGGAACCTACCTTACAAACTTCAAGTTTGTATGTTTTATAGTTCCTGAGATATCGTTATAGTCAGTCAGTGAGTGGTAGTTATATATATATATATATATATATATATATATATATATATATATATATATATATATATATATATATATATACATACATATATATATATATATATAGATTATAGTGTTAAATGTGTATTTATAATGCACTCATATTTTCATTTGTTTTTATACTCGGCGAGACACATGATTTACTGTTTTATTTCAGTCTGAAAATACGAGTAGCAGTGACAACATCACGACAGCTACAGTTGATTGGATGGTTAAAAAATATCTTCCCTTCTCATTTTTCGATGACGAAGCTACACAAGCATATTTACGATCAATTTGCCCAAATATGATGTTTCCTAAAAGGTCCACACTTAGAAGGAAGGTCAAAGATCGGTTTGAAGAGCTTCAATTGAATCTTAAGAAACGACTACAACAATTTTCATCTAAGGGGTCACTATTCATTATATAGACAACGAATGGAAGTATCGATCTGTAGTCCTTGATTTTACAAGATAACGCGGTCGACATACTATGGAAGATATTGCAACGATTTTCCACGAATGTTTATTGGAATATGACATAATTGATAAAATACCGGGTATCACGGTCGACAACGCAACTGAAAATACCAAATTTATGTATGAATTGGACAAACAGCTGTCACACTTTGATTCAGACAATCAACATTTCCGGTGCTTTGCTCACATTTTGAACCTTGGTGTACAAGAATTATTAAAGACCTTATAAGGCATTACACGGTGAAACTGACAATAAGGGACAAGGACAGCAGTATGAAGATAATGAAGACGAAACTGAGGAAGATGAAGAATATGCGCCAAATATTGCTGACTCATGGTACAGCTATAACAAAATTACGCAGTATTTCCAGTAAAATAAAAAGAAGTGAGATATTGAAGAGGAAGTTTCAGTCTGTTTGTGAAGCAGCATCAAATATGAACCCCATACTCGACTGTCCAACGAGATGGAATTCCACACATGATATGATTGGATTTGGTTTAAAAGTGAGAACTGGCATTAACATATTGTGCACTTCTGTCACCGAATTGAATGTTTTTAAAATCACAGATAGTGAATGGCAAGTACTCGAAAAAATACATAAGTTTCTAATAAACTTTAAACTTTTATCAACGAAACTTGGTGGAGAAAAATATGTTACATTACCGCTAGTCATTGTATCATTCAATCTCTTGCTCGATAAAATTGAATCCATGGTAAAATAATAAGATGAGAAACCTAATTGATCCGAAGTGGATGAAAGGCTCATTCTGGGTTTTCAAGCAGCTCGAGACAAAATGCTTAAACATTATAAAAAGAGCAACTGGATTTATTGTACCTCTTTAATTTTAGACCCAAGGCATAAGACTCAGACTTTTGACATGACATAATGGGGGAATCAAATTAAAACAGAAAGCCTGCGCAAATTTAATGAACTTTATAAAGAATATAAAAGTCTACACCCAGTGAATACATCTCTAGAATCACCAAGAAATGAAAAGAAAGTATGTGAATATGATGAAGATTAAGACGTAATAGACTTTGAGAAATTGTATGCATGTCCCTCGACGTCATCTGGAACTGGATCTTTTCATTAAGGCTTAGTTATAGACGAGTTGGAAGAGTACCTAAGTAAACCCAGAGCCGCCAGTTCGGAACACATTTTAGAGTGGTGAAGGACGCATGAGACAGAATATCCAACTTTATCGAAGATGGCCCGTGATTTTCTTTCAATACCTGCAACTTCAGTACCCGCTGAGAGATTATTTTCTAAAGCATCATTAGTAATTAGAAAACATAGAAATAGGTTAAGTGATGAGTCCAATGTTACTTTGTATTAATTCTTGGTCAAAAGAATTAATATAAAGTAACAGTAATGTCAAAGCTGTTGTGTACTGTTATGTAATTTAATTTGTATTGTATTTTATTTTTTTATTTAAATAAATGATAAATTGTATAACTCTTTCATTCCATTTCATATAAGAGTCTATCAATCTCTTTCTACACAGATAATGTTCTTTATAATACAGTCAAGTTAATGTCATTAATTTGTTTTTTGTACGTTTTGACTAAGTTTTAGCACATGTAAGCTTATTAAATGTAAACGTTTATTAAGAAACAGACTAACTCCCGTGGCCGTGGACTTGGTATTGACGCTCTCAGCTTGGTCTTGGTCTTCAGCACAGAGTTCGCTAAGTCTCGCAAACCCCACCAGTATTAGCCTTATTTTTCGAATTTTATTAAACGTTACATTTAGTAATATGGTTGAACTTTCTATGGCTAACTTAATCAAGTAAGGCAATCTGTTAAGTTGTTCTAATATCTAATGTAACGTTTAATAAATAACAATAGGCTAATAGGTAATTGCGAGACTTGCGAGACTCTTGCTGCAAGACCAAGACCAAGAACAAG